AGAAACTTAGATTTGTAACCAGGTAGCTGTACATTGTGCTTCTCACCACCAGTGTCCTGGTTTCCTTCTACTGTTTTTTGTTTGTTTGTTTGTTTGTTTTTCTGTTTTTCACACTCTTTTGCATTAAGTTGCACACTTGTTGCAACCTACAAAAACCTTGTATGTTCCTTTGACCCTGTGAGTAAACATAGTCAATGCATGGTTTCACTGGGGTCAATGGAGTGATGTTTGTGGATTCCTCTGCTCAGAAATGTGAGTGCAGTCAGGATCCCAGCTGAAAGTTGCAAGCTTTCCTAGGACAGTGGCTGGTTTTGTCTAGTATGCTAGGAAGTTATCATCTCCTTAGCCACAGTGCATAGTTCCTGATCTGAATCTGGCCAATATCAGCTAAGATATGCAGGCAGCACTGTAATACAAGTAAGAATAATAATGGTATTTAACATTGCTTTTTTCATAAATCAATCAAAGAAGTCAAAGCAGCAGGCATAAGTAATATTCCTTACAGTCAGATAGGGCTACATCTCTTTCATAAAAAGTGTTTTTCTGCAATATTTAACCATTGTTGGCAACAATCATCAATATTAATCCTTAACAGCAACATGATAACCAAGCTAGCAGATAAAATGGCTGTTAAAAAAGTAGGAAAAAGAGGAATAATAGGATTGTGGAATTTTAATATTCTCTAGCTATTTATTAAAAAGTGCTTATTTTGTATGTGTTTATTTCTAATAATCAACTATAACATTACTTTGCAAAAACTGTAATTGCTTCTTAATTTCAAATCCCAGTTCCTTTGTGCTGTATACAAAGGTAGGATATTTCTGTACTTATTGTTCACAGCACTCTGTGTAAAAAATCACGTTCATTTCAAGAAGCTGTTATGGTATTGATTCTGGTAAAGACTTCCATTAACTGACCAATCTAAATCTCATAAGTGATGTCAGGATAGTTATGCATTTGCTTGGTTCAAGTATTCAGCCATTATGTTAGAATGCAGGCAGTGTCTGAATATGGCTGTTAAATTATTTCTAAATACCGAACCAGAACAGCTTAACAGTTCTGCAGTTTGAGACTGACACAAAAATGACAATCTGCCACCTCTTTGTTTTTTAAATATTAACGTTGTATTGGGATAGTATTTTTGGAGTAAAAACCTGTGGCATGAGAGGATAAGTGACATAAACAAAGGCAGCTGGGCTGCATGAAATAATGGAACAATAAGGCCCTTACAGCCGTTCTCATCACTCCAGTATGTTAATTAGCATTCTGTTGTGGCCGCAACACTGAAAACATGTAATCTGTATTGGTGTACTGTACAGCTGTGAACACACATTCTTTTTTGTTAGTCCCTAGAGTTAGCCTTGCCATTGGCATATGTGTGTGGGCCAAAAGTCAAACCAGCACCACTAAAATACCACACTACAGAAGCAAAATATATTTTCTTTTATTTATTTCCACTGTAACCTGTAATGTAATCTGGTTACACAGCTTCTGTTTTACTTCTGTTTTTTTTAAACAATATTCTGTGTGTGTATGTACATGTGTACGTATGTGCATGTGGGCACATATTTGCATGTGCCTGAACAGGAGCATATATAGAGCCAAAATAATCTGAAAAAGAAGTGATTTAGGAAGATACAATGTTCTATAAATAAATAAAAGCTTATTCCTCAAAAGGACAGTTTTAAAACTCTGTCAAGAGGAACATTACAGCTATATTTTCTTTCTTTGTGTGTGTGGAGAAAAGGAATCTAGTTCAATATTTTTATTCTTAATTTTATTAAAGAATACAGTTTAGAACTCAGCAGTGCTTTAATGAATTCAGCTGCACAGGCATGGCACATTTACATTATTTTGATACAAACATGTCAAAAAACAGTGAAAGTAAAACTGAAGAAATGTGATAAAGGAAAAAAAAAGTTTGTCATTTATTATGCCTTCTAAAAGAAATCATACTAAAGTCAGGATCTCAGACTACTGTGCGCATGTTAACCTTAGCTGACCAGGGGTTAGAGAAGACCCCCTAAAAAAGGTTCGATCAGGTGGAAATCATTCCCCATCTGAGGAGACTGGTATTTCTCTGTAGTGCTCCTGTAATTTAAAAGCACACTGACCTAATGCACAGGTATTTACCTAGAAAAAAAATGTTACCTTTTAGATCATAAATTAGATTTAAAATTAAGAAATATGATTTCTATCTATTTCCTCTTAAATGTACATTTACACAGTGAATATTCACTTGTCAGAACTGTTTGCTGGTATCCATTTATTCCTTCATTGTGATGATTTCTGTACTCACAAAAAATAAGAAGTAGGAAAAATTTCTCTTAGAAAATAACTTGCAATGCTCTTGGGTGAATACATCCTTTATCCGTACTCAGATGATAAGAGTGAAGGCTTCGCTTATATTTCTGTACTAATCTACTTCAAACTTGATCTTGAAAAATTACCCTCATTGCACAAAGAAAATACAGCATTTAAGTCACCATGCTGATCAAATTTGTTTCTGCTTTTTGACTGTGGAGGGAACAAATTGTTTGGTGATTCTGTGATGTGAACCAGCGTTCACTAGGGAACTGAGTAAGTTTTTTTGTTGTTCTTGTTTAACCACTTTAATTCCTTCCCAAGTAGATTGTAACTCTTTTAACAAGAGAGATACTTCATTATAATATCATATTTTTATATGAAGTACTGAAAGTTTATTTTAAAGCTTAATACTTTATATTGCTATTGATAGCATGATTTTAGAAGAGAAGTATCAAATATTTAGAGTATCAAATACTGTTTTTATGGAAATAAAAATCAGGAATGCTGCTTTAAAAATTAAATTTCTGTAGAAATAAAATACATGCTATCAAAATGGGAATAAGAACAACAACAAAAATGTTAGTAGCTGTCTCTGAATTTGTCTTCATAGTGGTAAAAGTATATAATTAATAGAAGAATTTTAGCTCCAGATGTGGCTATACTATAATAGAGCCTTATAAATGCTACAGAAAGAAAAATTGCTTGGAACGAATGAGAACCAAATCAAGAGCACACCTGGGTTTGACAAAGATTGCATTTACTGACTGCTGTGCTATCACATTACAGAGAAAGACCAAGTCTTTGGGAGCAGCTGTAGAGAAAGGCCTGGCAAATCTGCATGCAAATAGCAGCACATTGTTAACTTAATCAGATGCCGAGGAAAAGATGTGCCAGACCATGAGGATGATCTATAAACAAGTACAGAGTCCAGAGAGATTGCGAAGGCTAGGCAGATTAAAAAGGTATACCACAAGGGTTCTGTCCTTGGGTCAGATTCTCATCTTTTATGTTGCCTGAAGGTTACTGCCATTCAAGCTAACTTATCACAGTGTTTGTTATGGCCCATTGTAGTAAATTTGTCAAATAGTCCCCGATTTGTTCTTTGCACAGATATAAATAATTGCATATTATTTTGGGAGTTTGGTAGCTCTTTGTTCTTTGGTGGTAGAGATGTGGGTATTATTTTCTGAAGGAACAGTGCGTGATTTCATAACTCCTATTAAATAATATTACTGTATAAATGTCTCAGTGTAGTGAGATAAGAAATAGTGCAATATACCGTATAAAGAGACAGATCTTCTATTAAAAGAAAATCTTTCTTATAAACTGAAGTGCCCTGACTACAACTGTCTTAAGAATGTTAGACACCTGCCCTTCATATCATTGATATTAACAGGAACATATGTTTAAAATCTTCTCTAAGTCTAATGTCATAAAAAAATAAAGAAGTAATACTATTTAATCACCCACTGCTTAATAGTGCCTTAGTTGTTTACTGCCATTGCACTAATTGCTCTGTACTAATGTGTTTTTGTGTGATTTCCAGTAGTGCTAAAAGAACCAAGATCCATAACCAATTAAATATAGTGTTTTTATCTTAAAAAATATATCTACTGTAGACTAGCAAATGAACAGTGGTATTCTTTAAAAAACAAGAGAGACTTGGCAGTTGCATAGCTGCAGAGTAATAGGTATTTTTCATTGCATCTTTTCCACAGTGACATTGGAGTAATCTTTATGAATAAGCAAACTGCATAAAGCTGAGCATTTTATATTATATTATGGGCCAGAATCTCCTCTCATACTGTTATAAATCAGGTATAACTTTATTAAAGAGAGAGGAATTGCCCCCATCTAAAAGTAGTCTCAGGCCTTTTGTTTCTGCAAATGGCTTTTCTTTTTTTTGGAAAACGCAACTTTTAAAATCTGAAATACAGATGCATCTCACCCAAGCACACATGCATAAATATTTCAGTTCTACCTGCTGCATGGAGAACCACATGCAGGGCCGGGCAGCAGGCAGTGGGGCTGGGCAGGCAATCCGAGTCAAAGACAGTGCTTTGGATCCTCAGCCGGATCATCGGGAGCACGACGGAAATGATGTGCAGAGACTTGTAGGAGAGAAAGCAACACCAGTTACATACTGTAGCATCCTCTGCCAGAGGGTTAATTGAGTAACATTGTTGTTGGCTCCAGAAGGAGCTCGCTGCCTGAGACAGGGCACTGCAGTGGAGACTGTGAGGGTGATGGAGGTGAGGGGAAATTGGACATAATAGCGTTAATAATAATAATTAAAGACTAAAAGTAACAAAAGAACACATAACTAATACACCAGTCTCTTGCTTTTTATTACAAAATTAATATTCATATGAATGCTATCAGAGCTATTCAATATTAAGCTGGTAAGACAAAAGCCACACTGTACTATATTATACAGCATATTACACAATGTTTGTTTCTGTGGATTTCGACCATCTTAGAGCAAACTAACAGCACTACCAAACACTCTGTTTCTAGGTCTCCAGCACAAGGCCCTCAATCAGCATAGGATCCACAAACCCACAGAGTGGCAACACACTTCACTTTATATGGGGGGAGGTAATGAGATCAATTAGATCCTCATCCATTGAACTGTAGACAGCTGTTGGTGCATAATAATCATCATTAGAGGTGGGTGAATGTGGGATACTGGATTTGCCAGGCTACCCGCAGGTATTCTAAAAATGCCAGGCTTAACTCTTGAGTACTTTGAGTACTTGAGGCCAGCATTTTCTCTGAAGTCTCTCCTGGGACTACTGATCATAAAGGAAGATAAAGGTACATCTGAGAGCAAGGACAGCTACAAGGCAGCCAGGCTGTTTTCGGGGATGGAGAAAGCTGAGCAGATAAATCCTGCAATCTGTTCTGAAAACACTGCCCTCTTCAGGGCCACATGGAGCCCATGGGCAGCGAATCCCAGGGTTAGCCGCCATCTGAATTCAAACCTTCATCAGCCATGCTCATCATCCAGTTTCTTCTCTCTCCATTATAGTTTCATGATAGGAATTGCAGCCTTTTCCGATTTGGGTGGACTCTCTTTGGTTCATCCCATACTTCAGTGATTATCTATTACGTGTTCGCCTCCTTCCTTTTTTTAATACCAATACAACCAGGTTATGTGTTAATGAAGTTGGGCTGTTTTGAATTATAACAACAAAAGGTCTGATATCGATGTTGCTTTTTGGATAGTGGGTAATGTAGCCTTCTTAGTATTTAATTTCGAGTCTTTTAACCACCTCTAGGCTTTATAAGCACCACCAGAATGTCCAGCAAACACAGTCAGTGTTGTAATCAGCATCATTCCTAGTTATTAATTTTAGGATTTTCTTTGAAACCTCAGTAAATGCTTGCTGCATTAAATACTTATATGTTAAAAACATTATAAAACCCTCTTACTTGATGCTGTTATTCATATACATCCTTGCAATTCCATATATTCTGCACTTCATACTAATTCTTGTAACCTTCATGATTCTTGTAATTAGGAGTCTTATTTTATTTTATTTTAGGAAGTGGATGTGGCCATTCCAGTAGAATAAATATGATACATATCATTACTGTTTACTTTTCTGTTGGCAATGTAAATAACAATCCACTTCTTTTGGTGGGCTTTCTCATTCATTCATACTCCTTAACATGGGTGTGAGTTTCCAGTGTGAAATGGTGGTATCTCACTGGTTAAGTCATATTAGTATGTATAGGAGTTTAATAAAAACAGCCCAGCAGTCATGGGGTAGTAGAAAAAAGAATGAAAGCAAATATATGCAAGAGAGAAATTGTGTGTGAGATGAGATCATCTGAATCCTAATCTGAGTTTTTTGACAAGTCTTCCGGCATGGCTTTGTGTCATGTACTGCTGCTGTCTGATTTCTGTGTCTAAATCTATTCCTGATGTCAGTGGGTGTAGCTCTGTTGCAGCTGTACATGTATACATGAGCAACAAATTTGGCCCTATTTTGGAAAATACTTATGTACCCTGTAGGTTGCTGTGAGGATTAATTTGTTAATATTTGTACAACACTCTGAATATGTAAAGTGCTATATAAGTGTTTAGTAGTATTAAGTCCCCATGAATCACTTATTTGTCCTCAGTATCAGTGCAGAACGTGGTTTTTGCTCTTATGGACTAGTAGAGCTTAGAAAGGAAGAAAAGGAAACAGTTGCTATAGTTTCAGCAACTGGCAAAACAAAGCAACTGGCAAAATGTGCTCTATTCTACATGCACACAGATAATATTTGGGTAGATGGTCACACAGTACCAGTGTACAAATATTTATCTGTTTGCAAAGAGAGTATCAGGCTTTATTGCCCAATGATGCAAACTGTTATTCTTGTAAACATCACGGGTTTTCTCATATGTATAAAGACTATTTTTAAGACTAACGGTATGTGGGAGAAGAATCCATTGTATTTTATTAGATTAAATTGACTATACTGATTTTATGGCCTAGCACTTTTTTGGTATATCAACTAGTTGACTGCAGATTCAACCACATGGTGGTCTTTCCTTAGATTTGTTTTCATGATGTGTGTAAAAGCAAATTAAGCCTGTGCACTTAAAACATATTGAATATCTGAGGCAATGGCTAGATAGAAGGTAATAGGAATTTCTCAGTTCTGTTTGATAGTGGCACTGTCATCATCAGTTTGGTTATAGCAGCTGCTCCTTTCTTACTGGTCAGTTTTATTTCCTATTCTCAGATACCTTCCTCTAAATGAAAGAGATTAAGACAGCCATCTTCTTGAAATCTGGTAAAATGTGGCAGATGAAAGAAGACATCAAGCCAGGCATTCTGTCTGGCATGGCTGAGCTAGGGTTCAGACACTACTTTAGAGATTTCACCGTACGCATATATATCAGTAATGAAGTATCATGAGACTAAGTATCAGTATCAGCTGGGGAAGAGCCAACAATGAAAATGTGTCTTGGACTGTGAAATTTCAATGCATTCATTAATCAGAAAGCATGCTACCTTCCTGATTCTGGATTATATAGGCTGTTCTCAGGCTCAGCAGGGGAAGGCAGTATGGAAACCCCACAGGTGCAAAGCAGCATTCCTTAAATTGCCTTAGGGGCATTGGGCATGGTGCCTGCAGAACATAACAGAACCTGGGCCTCAGGTTCTGATCAAGTACATTAATTTTGTTTCTACTTTTGAATTTTAACTAGTACCTTGTTCTTATAAGTAATCATGTTGTTGTTTTGTGGAACTGAAAAGAGGAAGATCATCAACGTGAGAGAGAGATTCAGCAGGAGAATATGAAACCTTCAAGTTTATCTATCATCCCTCTAAGACGTAAAAGAACATATAGTAAGAGCAGTGATGTGCATTCAGCATGAATGGTGCCATGTGTCTTCTCCTCTCCCTATACCAAAGTTATGAAATATTTTAGTCACAACAGTCAGCAGTTGTTATGAACCAGGCAACATTATGGTTTTAACTGGTTACAGGTTACAACTACACAGGTTACCACTGTGAGGAAATTTAATTCACAATACTTTCTTAAGGTTTTTGCCAACTACAAGAATTGAAAGAACAAGAGTTTTTTTATGTCCTTCTCCTGTCACTCTTCCCGTATAATTCCAGTCATTCATCTCTCCAACTCAGAAACATTTAAAATTAATCTAAAGGGGGAGTTGATCATCACCAAATAATTATAATCAGATGCAAGATTTGAAACGCAGTTTCCCAAGGTGATGCAGTTATTCCCAGGTGTCAAAGCAAATCAACCTTTTCTCCCTCCCCTCTGTGTCTGGACATGGAGGGCAGCTTGAGCCTGACCCTGAAGTACAGTAATGTATTATGGTAGTTTGGTCATGTCAGAAATGGAGCAGGATGGAAGCAGGTGACATCTCCCAGTGTCTAGACCTTGTTCTTATAAGTAATTAACTCCATTGTGTGTCAAAATGTTGTCAGCTATGATTGAAGCTGGCACTTTTGTGGTCCATACTGTCTGATTTTTGGATAGGCAAAAACATCCATCTTGTGGCTGAGTAAAGCTTCTCTCAGGTGGCATTCAGGTTTTTCAATATACCTTCTTCCAAAGTAGAGCAACATCCATAAAATACAAGATTGAAAGATACAACACATGATAAATTAGAGTTTCAAATGGTACTGTTGCCCTAAGTGAAGAATCCTGAATTTTGTATTTAATTTGTCTACTTGTTCAAAGATTGCATGTATTGCATATGAGGTATTCTGTTGTATGTAGATACTCTCCATTGGTCATCTCAGGCAGTCATGGCCGTATAAGGACGGCATTGAGATACCTGATGTTTATGATGTCAACAGTAAACTATGCATCCTTCCCAGTTTTTGGGGGTAAGTAGCCTTTGTTAAGCATGACTGCTACATACATCCTTTGAAAATATACCATTGCTAACGTCTGCGGGGATACAGCTGTAGAAAGCAAATATAGTGAATGGGCCTTCCAAACTTCTGGTACTTCAGAACTGTTTCATAATTGTCACAGAAGCATAGCCTATTTAAAACATAAAAAAAATGAATTAATGACTATTTATTACTTTTTTTCCAATTATTTTGTTGCTAAATGTGTTTCTGTTAGCAGAAGCACCTCTGAACAGTATCATATTGCTTTCTTTGTTGATCTGGGACTTGTAAGAGGCTAGATCATTATCAGTCATTTTGTAAATATTTGTTTCTACTTGTAGGTACCCATTTGACTGCCTTTACTTTTTCTGAAGTTTCACCCAGGTTGTACCAAGTAAGGTCTCTTAAAGATGCTGCTGGCATAAATTTTTTATCTGGGCTTTCTTCCTACACACAAAATAAATTTATTTGCAGCACTCTGGACAAAAGAGAGCCACTATCTAACCCTGACCATTTTGACATCACAATGCACTAAGTCCAAATTTTCTGCTCTCAGCAATCCTGTAGTCCAAAGCAACAGACATTTTTTTTTCTTCCTGTAGCTGTGACACAGACTGAATTCCCATCCGTTATCTTCACAGAAAGTGATGGCTCATTTTTCAAAGCACTGATTGGCAAAATTTTTGTGGATGACTGTTTTTGATGATGATTATTTTTGTAGATGGGTTATTTGCCGTACTCTTCAAGTGCTCCCTAGGCTTTGACTCCTGATGTTGTCCAGCCAATTCAGCAGGTATACCATAGCCTGTTTAACTGGTCTCATGGGAGACTGATTGCCTGCTCACTCACCTAAATTGGTGTTAGTGTAGTGTGTGGAGTGGAAAGACTTTCTTCAGTTAATGCAGTATGTTCCAGATCAGGGGTTTTACATTTTTTCTGTTTTACATGGTTTCCCTATGTAAAAGCTGCTGTTGCTGGGTGACTACTGGCATTCTGCTGGATAACTTTAGAAAGCTATAACCTGGCTGAATAGATCATGTCACAGCTCTAAACATTAGAGGTAGAATTGCATCCGGTGTCTGTTGGCTTTTGTTCTGTCAAGGCTAGAAAAATGCTAACCGATCTGATCAGCAGTTAAAACATTATCTAAATCAGGAGCATGAAATGGGCTGGATTTGTACTCAGTGAGAGCTCTGTAATGGCAGAAGCGTGCATGATCAGATATTCCTGACCTCCACCAATGGGCTATTGGCCCGTCTGCTGCTCTGAGTTTTTGCTGTCATCAGCTGTGCTGCCAGGGTCAGCCGTAGCCAACTCTTCTATGCCATGGCCAGCTTGCTGGGAGCAGAGACCACTGGGCTCCTCAGTGCAGATTTCAAGCAGAATGGCAACTGGCACAAACCTCTTGCTTTGGCACCCTTCAGTCATCCAGGTTCTGTTCTTTAT